TTTCGAGATATCGTGCTAACGGACAGACGGACAAACATCGCAAAATTATAAACTCGCTAGGAGCTCATTAATAATGCCTCTATTATATATGTGGGAAAATATATCCAATTTTAAATAATGAAATGGGGCAAAGTTCAGTTGGTCGCAGCCTGTTCTACCACTTAACCCCGTACATCGTACATCATGTGTACTAGCTCAGTAAATAGTTAACTATTTTATTGGTAATAAATGTTACTAGTTTAGACAGTGAACATTAAGCAACTTTTCATTCTTATTTACGAATGACAAAAATCAAACGTAAAATCTACGAATACTTTAATTAAGGAATACAATGTAGTAATTGAAATTCAAAACTGCAACGCTAAAAAGAGTGCGAAATCCACGAACTTAAAAGTATCGAGAGTCACTGCTGTAAAAAGAGTGGCCACATGGTTGGCAATTGCCGCAAGAAAAAATATAACCAGCAAAAAGGAAGCCAAAAACGATGAAAGACCAGTGAGCTGCCAGAAAAATGCGTTTATTGTGATCGGAAATAAGGGATGCAGTGTAAAGCGCGTGACCGGTAAGAAACCTTTTCTCATGACCAATGTCCAGGTGCAGGGTACTTTCAGGGGAACGTATACGTACGTTAGAAGGCAAGGCTATGCGGATAGGGTTTTCAACAGAAACCGGGAAAGGACTACACAAAAACTTTTTCCCCTGTTGTAAAGATACGATTCTTTACGTATGTTACTGGCGATGGTGGTCCAAAATAATTTGGAAATGTTGCAGTTCGATATCAAAACAGATTTCCTGTATGGTGAGGTGAGTGAAACGATTTATATGAAAGTGCCACAAGGTGTTAATATAAATATCCCAAACTGCGACCCATCGTTTCCATGAGAACGCGCACGTTTTCGTGTACCGTGTTACGAAGAGCAATTACTGAAACATCCATTTTCGACCAATAACTAGAACCGTTAGCAACTGCTATTGCGATCATCGTAAAGTTGTCACTTGGTAACGTTAAATTACCATAAACATAACCTATTTTATTTAGCACCCGCACGGCAGTAAGGGAGGTATTTGCATTGGCGTAAGAAATGAACCCCTCCCCCACTTTTTGACGAAAATACACGTTTTGAAACATCAGGAATACGAATCAAGCAAAATCTCGACGATGTCGGCCTGTCCGCCCGTCTGTACCTACTCTCATTTCTGGCTAAACGACTGAACCGATTGGAACCAAATTTGGTACACATAGGTATTCTTAGACATAAAAGGAAGAGCTGAAAAGCGTTTGGGTAAAATCTCATATGCACAATTGTGTCAAATTGTTATTTTTGGCTAAGCGGTGGAACATAAAAGGGCAGAAACGCGTATGTGCAAGTGTGCGGGTGGTATCTGTGCTAGCCGCAGCAAATTTTTATAATTTGTAGGTGTCTTCTAGGTCATTTTTCTACTTTATTTTTGTGACTGCAGAATTTCGCGCAGAATCGTGGGTAATAGAAAATGAAATATAATTGCAGTGGCAACTAAAAATCTAGCACAAGGTACAAATACCCCAACAAACAGGACAACCAAAAAGAGAGCGTTGCGTACGAGGGTTCTTACCTTATAGAATTATAGGACTTCTAAATAAATGGCAGTTAAAGAATGTTTAAAATTCAAGAATGGGATCAAATAGAATAATTGTGAAAAAGCACTTCAGCTGAAAGTAAAAAAAGTGAACGCCTTGACCAGCATTGCTATTTCTTTGAAGAGGAGAAACTCGTAAACATTTTGTTCATATTTTCTGCTAATTTTCAGTGTGATATTTTTTTTAGTATGTAAGTAATTACAGTTTATTTATCTAGATGTAGAATAAAATAGACTATAGCCTGCACACTATAGTAGAAAGCTTTTAGCGAAAATTTGAAGTATCTAGCTATTGTAATTGCTGAGATCTCATCCGGACAGCCAGCCAGCCAGATAGACAGCCATAACGAATATAATATCGTATTTTTTTTCAAAAATGCGCTAAAAACTGTATCCTGAATGTATAGTGATGAGCACAGAAAAATTCCGCTACTTTGAATAGATCAAGGAGCATAGTAGAAAAGCAACCATAAAATATAATCATTATCAGAGGCTATAACGACTCTAAAATGCTCTAAAATTCACAGAAAATGTAAAAACGTGTAGAACTGGCAAAGATAGATAGATAGATCTTTATTGTGTGGAACGCGAGGTGGAACGTGTCTGTGCACTTACACTCGTCAACAATTAATAAAAAAAAACATATAATATATAAAAACATGCCAATTTGAATTATAGATATGTAAAAATATAAATGTACATATAAAACGACATTACATTACGCAAAGATAAAAAATCACAAAAACATAAACAAATTTGTTAAATAGATTTGCACTCACGGACGAATTCATCAATAGAATAGAACGCAAAAATGAAGCCTATGTAGCCTCCTCGGTAGTAGTTTCAATGCTCATATCTGATAGACGCCTGACCAAAAGCGACAACTGAGGATGAGGATGCCGCGCACAAAAATTTCTTAGCAAGGGCCTCACGGCCAAAGAGGGTGAAAACGTGAAGTAATTAACTGAAACATTAAGAAACGTTGTGCGTACACCGATATCTATTTATAATAAACATAAATTGGATCTAAAAAAGCGGTAGAGCTACGAGGTCCTTGGATTTGACCCATGTTACATGTGTCATATAGGTCAACTGCGCAAAGTTGAACAGAATCCACCCCAGATGGGCTGTCGATGGGCACCATCAACTCTCCTATAAAGCTTGCAATGTATAGTGGGTTGGGTTCGTAGAGCAATTCGCGCATGCGTACATTTAATTTATGCTATATGCGATATGTTTGTTTCTACTAGAAGCGTCTATGATTAAAATTTTAAAGAGGGATCTCCCCCATACCTAGCGGCACGTTACCTGGACCTCAGGACTTTTTATATATTCACTACCTAAACACTCTGAACAAATTTATCAAAAGATCGGTTAGGTCCTTGCTCACGCACGCTACACCTGCTTCGTTGACTGGACTATTTAATGAAGTTGAGACTTGTATCCCAGTGTTCCAAAGATTCGTTTCTATTGTACCATTCCGATTCTGTAAAATCACGGACATCTTCACAAGACAACCGGAGCAGACACCATAACTCTTTGGTACTTCCATTCTTATATCTTCTCTACTGCTCAATTTCTTTAACAAAACCGTGTGAAGTGCCGCGGGCCAAGATTATTATTTACGCTTGCTAATGACACAACAATAGATGAGCACAGTTTTATTCCAATATTAACGGTCTCACCTTAACTTTACGATGCCAAATGTCATTAGAATATAATTTCAAGAAAATGGGCGCATTTGTAATCTAGAAAATCGACATCTCCGCGCTCCTGTAAGAATTCCATTGCCTTACTTCCCTGTACTGTAAAGTCAAGGTGAGACGGACTACAGCTAACCTACTAAACTAAAATTTGTACTCCCTACCAAACTCCTTCTCCAGTGCGGTCAACCAATTAATAAATTTGAAGTTATGCTAATTAAACCCAAAAGAATTAACAGTGCTGATTCACGAGTCCAAAGATAACACGTGCGGGTGGTGAAAATTTGAAACGTTCCCATTTCTATGGAGGTATATCTATAGGACCAAAAACTACCCAGAAGTTTTCTTTTTTTTTGTTAATTTTCACGAAGCATATTTAAGAAGTGTAAAGTTTAGTTGGCACACCCTATATGTATAAGTGTACCGTAAATGCTCGTAGTGAAATTTTCAGACAGATCATCGTTATTTTCCCCACTAATTTAAAATGATGTAACAAGATGTCAATTACTCTAATTTTATCTAATAGTGCAGGTATTCTCAACATTTTCTGTATTGTGTGTTTATTATTACATAAAATAAAGGTACTATGGAAACAGGATCGGTTACTGAATCCAGGTAATTGATCGGTCTAAATTTTTGTTTGTGTGATGAAGTAGGCCACATACTTTTCCAACCAGGTTTTCCGAGATTTGGTACACAACGGTAATTTAATTCTGAAGAAGGCACCTTCTTCGTTTTCTGAAGGAGGTATGCGTTCAATGAAATATACACTGAATTCCGAGAATTCAGGTTCATTACATTTTAAAGGTGTGAAGAGGATTTTTTTAATATTTGGTACTATCACAGTGATGTTTCGGAATCGAATTTCTCAAAAATGGCCCAATGCGATGGCGGTTTTTCTCGACTAACTTCACTGTAGCCTTTTTCATTGGGCATGCGACGTATGTGAGTGTCTATCACTGTTTATGAAGCGAATCTTCTTTTAGGTACTCGTCACGGAGTAATTTCACGGACGGATGGCTGATTGTAATGAATTCTATCAATATCAACAAACATTTCGTGTCATGCAAAAATGAAAGTCACGATTACTGGCATCGACAAAGAAAACGGATTAATCCTTCAGCATATCGTCAATTAGAAGAATTAAAATCAGAACAGAACAGCAGGTCTCGCTGGACCAGATGGATAAATTCACACTTGCATGTAGAACCAATCTACTCCCAAATTCTTCCCCACTAAAATACAACCATATAAACCAACTTGCTCGTGTCTTGTAAATAATGAGTTGGACTAATTGTTCTAACACGTAACGCAATTGCGTGCCTAACAAGAACTAGTTGCGGTAATTTGTAGCCCGTAAAATGACGATCGAATCCCTATTCCTATTGACCGTGACTTGCTCCAGTTTACTTTCTTCTCAATTTGCGAATAGTAGACTAAACAGTTATGCAAGAATTGTACGTTCTATCGATGACGATGTCATTATCAGGCATGCAAACGGCGACCGCTTCGGCTTGTAGGTAGCGATCTCCTTATACTTTTTGCTTTATTTTCTCTAACTGCTCCAATTATTTTTAATGGTTGCGGCAAGTGAAGGTCCTTTTTTTGATATCCTCGTATATAAGTACAGGTATAATAGCAATTCGCCATTCTAGATCAGACGTTATAGTATAGAACATCATGTCCAGGTTTTTAGTGTTTAGCGGTGTCTTAATATTTGCGACGAGTTTAGTTAATTGCAGCAGGGAGGGGGTTGATTTTAGGGATGGGGCGCAAATTATCGGAAAATTGTTCCGTCACTTTGTAAACTCACAACCGGAAGACTACCAAATAACTGATGGTGTGCACTTGATAAGCACGTCAACCGCAAACGACATTGACAGCAGATCGGTGGATGATTTGTCCTTGATGGGTGTTATCGAAAATTACGTACGAACGCACGAAGTTCGAATTAAGTTCACGGAACTTATGCCCGATGGCCAGGATTTGGCAAGAGCTTTCAGAAGTGATGGCGACGAAGGAAATTCGGAAGTTGGTAATACAATTAACTTATTTAAATATTTTCAATAGTTTCAAGCTACAGTCATAATGTTTTATTGGCCTGTTTCAAAAGTAAGGAACGTGTCCTGGTGCAATACCTAGATGGCAGCTCTTGTGCTGTACATAATATAGTTACACAAGTACTATTTTATAGTAGATATGTGAATGGAATATGAAATGCACCTTTAGCGATCGCTCTTTTTGTCTGCTGATGCATGTATGTATGAATGTTCCTCCAAATAAAGACCTTTTATTATAGGTAAGTATATTATATCGCTAAGTGCTGCATAGGCTTTTTATATCTGAACCCGCCTGTTAAAATTAACGATTTTACTATGGAAACGGTTGAAGAATTTTATTTCTTTTTGGTGCATCGTTACTTTGGTTGTCCTACACCAAACTAAGAAATTCAGCCAAATCCACTATGTTTGCCTTCAAGTCAGTTTCTATACGATACCTAATCTGAGTAATATTTTTCCTAATGTGAGCGCTTTAGAAAGTGGGGGGTTGAGTATTTCTTTTTCCTAGGAGATCAATGCCTTGCGTATTCATGACATATACGGAGAACAAAAGGGCATTTTAGTTCTGAGGGCGTGGAAAGTTGAGAAAAGTACCTTAGAGATTGAAAGGTACGTATGTTCAGTACTCTTCTGCAAGTTATCGCTCCTAGCATTCTGAAAGATAGATATGTCGAATCTCTACGCCTTGTACCCTTACCATAATCCCAGATCGTTAAGTTAACGTTTAAATTGATACTTACCTCGACTAGACCTTTGTGAATTACTTAGTTCCTGGAGAGTAAAACATTACTTTACTCCCACTTTTGGAAAAGATAGTCTCTGAACGAAAAAAGGGATCCGATGAACGTAAACGTTGACCACCATTTAGCCCCTGTTTATTTCAGGAACTGCTCGAGGAAAAAATAAAGGTGGTGGCGGCGGAGGCGGCCTAATGATGTTGGGAGGAATGTTCGGATCCATGATGGGTGCCATCGGATTAGGCGGCGTAGGATTACTAGCAATGAAGGCACTGGCCGTATCCGCAATGGCATTGATGCTGGCGGCGGTTATTGGAGTTAAAAGCCTGGCAAGCGGCGGAGGACATGAGGATCATCGTGTCATTCACGCAGGAGGTCACGACCATAGGAAAAAGAGGGAGGCAGCCGAAATGGCTTACAACGCCTGGTATCCATACGTGCGAAGTTAGTCCGCATCCCCTAGCTAGGTAACTTATTCAATTTAGCGTATTTTAGTGTCAAAGTCCCGTACCTTATTATTAGAATAATGTGTAAATCATGTGCATATAAATATAGAAATTTATAAAACAGAGGCATGCATTTAATTATTCAACAGGTAAAAACCGGTTGACATACTACCTGAGTTTTGAATTTATTGTAGACGATGAAGAAATCTATAGAAAGCTATTGAAGATCAAGTTTACTGTGAATGACCGTAACCCAGAAATACACTGGCACAGATTCACAGGACTGGTTTTAAGGAATGAGGAAGTTGTGAAAGGCAATTTATAAGGTAATGTTAGCTCTTGTGTATCGAAAAGAAAGATCAAGTGTTTGATACGCAAGACGGGGCAATTTAATTAAACCCTGTGAAAGGTAAAATGAGTATCAAGGATGTTACCTTATTATTTATGTATTCCTTTTTTTTAAGAAAAGAAAGTGTTGCACTAAATTATAACGGGAGCAAAAGGACAGTTGGTAACCGCGATGGGAAAATCAATACCAATAAATCAATTCATTAATTTTTTTATCGAGAAATCGAATACTGCGTAAATAAGTACATTGAGTTTTAGGCAAATGTTCAAACATGTAAGTAGCATCGCAAGACTAGGGCACATTTAATTAGCCATTATGCTAAAACCAGAGTAATCCAGTCGATCCTAAAGGTAAAATCTATCTGAGTAGCGTTCAAGTCAAGTTACTTCTTTATAAAGATACCATAAAGACCTAATAACCTACATATCGAAAACGGAAATTAACGAACAGGTGGATATGAAAGTTTTTAGGTCTTCCAAAATTATTGAACGCGTTTTATGATGGAATTTTTAATTAAAGTTCTAATTTTCACCGCGTGTGATTTCATTTCGCATACATATTTGCTTATGAAATTAATTACAATATGATGAGGACAACTTAATTTAATTCTCCTTAGAAAGTGCTGTCGAAAAATCTTCCCTTTTTAAAGGTAAAAAAATACGCTTTCACATACCTATTGCTATTATTGTAATAGTAAACTTAGGCCAGACTGATAAATTTACTTTCATATCCTTCCCATTTTATTGTGGTGCCATCTACAGATAAATAAGTAATTTGCAAACTATAAAAGCAGTGCGAAAAGGATCTCCAAATAATTAGCTTGTAAAGTATAATGAAACCTTGCTGTGTAATTTCTTTTTAAGAACAGTACTAAAGAAAGATCTAGAAGCGGAAATAGTAATTAAGGAGCATTTCCCTTAATTTAATCTATCTGCTTATGGTATGGAAGAAAATGATTGCGGATTTGATTTATAATTAGCTAGAAAGAAAACCCAAATAAGTATCATGAGTTGTGAACTGAGATAGAATACGCAACAAAACTAGAAGCTGATGATGTCATACGCGCGTATTTTGAGTACGCTAGCGTCAGTGTTGCTAAAGTCTGTAATCTGTAGGGTATAGTTACTATACACTGTGTCTAAGATAAGGGTTTCTATCATGGGCCCCTTTTTGAGCTCTACAAAACATATTTGTTGTTAAAATATGATTCACAAATCAATGACGCAGGCCCACAGACTAGTGATTTCTAGCGTATATGAATTTAGGAGATTCTAAATGTACAGCAGCAATTGATTGAAAAATTTTAGCAAAAAAAAATATATTGGCGGTCAATTTGAGCAAATTTCTGCAGAGGGATTTGAACAGTATTTCGCGGCAAGTACAAACAAATGAAGATCTGCGTCATTAATTTTTTTAAAATATAATTGCTTTTAATGACTATCAAGGAAAAAAGTTACAGTCAATTGTGAACTTGATAGGTCGATGTATTTGATGTTGGATGTATACAATCATCAATAATTCACTATCATTAGATCAAGAAATAGCCAATAGAAGCAAATGTATGGTTCGTTTGTTAGCGACGCATAATAAGCTTTTGTTTCTATTGGTTTTTTTAATGATCTAATATAATAATCATTGTATGTCTCTGCCTCTGTCAAAAAAACCTTCTGTTCGTTTCAAAAAATTGAGGTGTCAGTTAATGGAGGCTACGAGCATAAGAGTTTGAAACAGATTAATTGCGACCACTTTTCCATATTGGATTTAGACCACAAGTTTCGGTGCTGTATAACTTACCGTATTTTTTTAATTAACCGTCTTACTGAATGCTGATACCTAGATAACTATTTTTTACATAAATATATGAACATTTTTTAGGTTTAAATTGGACGTTTTGAAGAAGTTTGACATGTGTGTTAACATTATTTGAGTGGATTGTAAAAATTGTAGTGGCATTTTCAGGCCGGCTCCGCAGCAGTTTGTTTCAGTACTACTTCTACAAATACCTCCTTCATATATACGATTTACCACGTAATACATGACAATTTAGTTTCATATCCAGAGAAAACGAAGTTATTGGTTGCAAAGAACGAGTATGAAAATTTGTAGGAGAAATTCATAATTAATTTGAGCTTCAACTGACATTTTATGAATGTAAGTATGCAATAACAAGCACTTGATGAACAATACCAAATAAAATTCATTCGAGGCAATAAAGCTTTAATATAAAAGTATACATCCTGACCCACTTCCTCTCTTGTTTATTCTCATACCAATAAGGTATTATTAAACTCCACGTCTTCCAATATTTATTACTAAATCGTGAGTCGATATAAGGAATTAAAATATGTCATCGCATGAAATCAAAACTACGAAAGTACCTAGTCTTTGTGTGTGTACAAAAAACGCGCAGCTTTCATTTTACTTCACTTTCAGTTCTAATTCGATTTCGTTTACACTAAGCTAAGTAGAGTAGGTAGGTTCCTCTAATACCCCTCGAGCTAAATCCATTTCGTTTCAAACTGTGCAATTGTTAAAAGTCTTTTAAAATGATTTCTGTGTTGAAGGAAAACGTAACAGAAAACCTCCATCTTTTCGAGACATAAAGTTTTAAAGTTTCTCGCTGTCAACTGCAGGTTGAGGGAAATATGTACTCTTCTTGTTAGAATGTGAATGAATTCATTGCTACTGAATTTTCATTTATCTAATTTTATTCTAATTCTCTTGATGCTAATATGTTATGGAGTACCTAATCTGACAAGAGATTTATGAAATACACAGTCAATAAAATTTCTAAGATTGAGGAAAATATTGTCACCATACTTGTCAAACGAAATTCGAGGAGATAAACGTCTTAATTTTCAATATGCGTCAAATAAAATTTTTTTTTAAATAGTCCTTCGTAATTAGGCTGAGTGATTGCTCTACTGCGCACTATTTTATTAGATGGCGCCGCATGCAGGATTCTAACTTTTTTTTTTTTTTTAATTTATTGTGCCTCGACTACTTATTGCCATTGCCACCCATTTATGTGGAACGTGGAAAATTATGTGTCTGTCCGCATGATTTTTTTTTAATAAAGCGGCCTTAATACCTCTTAATAATAAAAATGCTCTTTTATGCCATCATTTTTTTGCAATGCTAAAGGTTTTCTGGATATCAACTTTTTTATGTTATTTTATGCCTAAAGCTCCTAAAAACTCCGTTTTAATTGTTGCAAGTTGGACTACCATTTTCCTTGTGGATGGCGGTAGTGGTTTTTACGGAATTGTTAGAGACAATTTCAATGGGAAACATCTGGAGATAATTATCTCCTTTGTATGATTGCATGATTTTGCGTTTCAATACTTTCGCTCAATTAGCTATTATTAAGAAAAAAAATGCATATAAAAGATATGACAAATATGTTGCGCCTGTCCTACAAGGAAATGCATTAGGTACACGTTCTGATGGTTTTACTGATTGCTCTCGCAAATTTATCAAGTGATTTTCTGTTTTAGCGCTGAAAAACTAAATAATCTAAGTATGCAAGTATCCAGCCGTCTTCGCTAAGCTCGCCTAATACGAGAAGTATGCTTTTTCAAGAAAGTACTACATCACCAGTTTGTGAACCAATTACCAACAACTTCAAATTATGAGCATCACGCATATACGCCTCACTGGTGTAGGGATCATCTTTGATGCCAAACGACCATCCATCCTTAAGCTACTATCCTACGTTGTAACGGTATCTCTCTAATTTCATTTAATTTTTTTTCGAAATTTCGTTGTGAATTTTGAGATCTGTAAGGGTTGAACAATTAGGCATTGTATAATGCATATCATAAAAATTGTATAGGTGGTTGAAATTTAAAGGACCGATTTCCCAATAAAGGATTTGATCAGTGGGGGTATTATGGTACTTCTGCGTCGTTTAATTTCTGTAGAGCATCAGTTTGTTAATGTACAACTGCTAATTAGGTATGGGGGGTCACTTCAGCATCGTGAAAATTACAAATTTGGCATATTTGAGAAATAGGTGGGATTTTAATTATTATTTATTATTATCCCTCTCTTGTTTTGGGCCCTCAACAGGCATGCGCCCAATTACAGAGTGACCCGCATAATGCTATTTAGAGGTGCCTCTGCAGAAGGTCTTAAGTTGGCAGGGGCGGACTGGGTACTTACGGGCCAGGTGGAATTGCAAAGGTTACGGGCCATTAAGGTATTAGTGTAATGAAGATTGGAGGGGGGGGGGGGGGGGGGAGCTCTGCGGTGCACCACAAAAACATTTTTTTCTTCATTTTAAAGTATTCCTTTCTCGAAAATCAATTAGAATATACCTAGTTTTTTTTTTAATGCAGCTCATAATTAAATGTAACAAAATATACACAATCCAAACGAGGCGCGTCGCCTATAATAGTGTTTCAGCACTTTCAAAATACGACAAAAACAGATAAATTCATTGGAAAACACTTGAACCACCTAACATCAACCCCACTGAGAGAAACGTGTTAATAATTTATTAATAGTGCAAGAAACTAAATACAGCACATACTTATAAATTTCCAACGGGCCATTATGACCTACAGGCCAGGTGGCAATTGCCACCCGCCCCCCGGGCCAGTCCGCCCCTGTAAGTTGGTCTATACTACTCCGGTATTTACCTTACGAATTAGGAAAACTACAGGAAAACCTAATTCGGAGTAGCCGGTAGAATGCTCGGAACTGGTCTAAGGTAATTTCCATCTC